GCTCGTACTTATCCTGTAAGACTCAGTTGAAATGCCATTTACTCAGCCGTCTTCTTGGACCCCAGGGCTGGACTATGAGTTCCACCCATATTTCTACAGGTCTGTACCTGCCCTCACCTTGCTGCAGAGCTGATTACATTAGATTTCCTACTCTGTAGGCTTATTTTAGAGTCCCACTGTGGTGCTGCCGGATAATGTACTGGTCCGCAATGTCAGCAGTTGCTCCTCCGAAACCCTATACAGGGTCGCTATGAATCAGAACCTACTCAACGGCACTTCACAACACCACCACCACTGTGGCACTGTAGGATAAGTAATGGACTGCTAATCTCAAGGTTGGCAATTCACACCCATCAGCCTTTCCTTGAAAACCCTATACAAGGTGGCTGTGAGTCAGAACAGATTCAACGGCACTTAACAACAACAGGTTTATTTTACTAGGGGTGTCCTTTATTTTAATTGTGTCATCAAATAGGTATGTTCAAGTCCTAACCTCTGATGCACCTATGAATATGACCTGGCGTTGAAATGGAACCTTTGAAGATGTCTGTTAAGTGAGCATGAGGGCATAAAGTAATGAAAAACAAAATAAAAAACAAACAAACCTCCAGCAGGGATATAAAATGAAGCCATTGAGTCATTTATTGCCACGGAGTCAATTCTGATTCTCAGCAGCCCCATTTGTGGCAAACTAGAACTGTGTTCCATAGAGTTTACCTGGTCTTTCTTCCAGTGCAGTGCGCCTCTGGGTTAGCTGCTGAATGTTTAATTGTTTGCACCACTCAACAGTTGTAGCAGGGTGGGTTCTCGTCTTTTCTGACTCATAGTGACCCTGTATAGGGTTTCTGAGGAGCAGTTGGAGGGTTTGAACTGCTGATATTGTAGTTAGCAGTGCAGTGTTTATACTACAGTGCCACAGGACTCCAAAGTTATAATTGTTGTTGTTGTTAAGTGCCGTAGAGTCAGTTCCGACACACAGTGACCCTGTATAGGGTTACAAGGAGTGGCTGGTGGATTTGAAACACCGAACTTGTGTTTCAAACTGACCTTGCAGTCCAGTGCACTAACCCGCAATGCCAGGCCTCCTAAATAGAGGTTGCAAAAAATATAACTGGATTTTGTTATGAGAAAAACAACAGAGTATTCATTTTAAGGTACACTTTTGATCTCTGGAAGAAACCTAAGAAATGAGTGATAATGGTGACCTGTAGGCAGTCGGTCGGCTTGCTTCTGGCTATGTCTGTGTGTCTAAGCATCCATGTTACTGGAGTATGCGTGTGTCTGTGTACATGCCTGCCTTGCCTGTGTTTGTGTGCGCATTGTTACTAGAGTCTGCCTCATAGTGATGCTGTGTGTAACAGTGAACACTGCCCGGCCTGCCTCATCCTCCTAATCATTATGGTTCAGCCCACTGCTGCATTCACTGTGTCAGTCCAGGTTGCTGAGGGTCTTCTTTTTATTCTCTGACCTTCTACCAAGGATGATGTCCTTCACCGGGGGCTGGTCCCAAAGTATGTGAGACAAAGTCTCACCATCCACATTTCTAGGGAGCATTCCGGCTGTCCATGGTATACTCAGTATTCTTCACCAACACCACAATTTAAAGGCAGCAATTCCTTTTTGGCCTTCCTTATTCATATGCACATGAAGTAATTAAAAACACCATGGCTTGGGTCAGAAGCACTTAGTCATCAAACTGACATCTTTGTTTTTTTAACACCTTAAAGAGGACGTTATAGCAGATTTTGGACACTCTGACACTGCTCAGACTGCAAGGACAGTAAGTGACTGATGGCCTTAGCTGCTGTTATATTCATTATTGTGTTTACGCTGAGGCTCATGGGCAGATCCATTCTTGGGTGATGCAGAACTCCCCTGATGGGCAATTTTGGCACAAGGAATCGCCATTAGTCTTGCCAAACTGTCCTGGATCTGTAGCTGCAGCGTTTTCTCACCCATCCTCCATTCTTCCCCTCTCTCCTTTACAGGGGCCAGACCTACACCACAACCTGGACAACTCTTCCAGTCTATCATTCCCCTGTCGTTTGCACATTTAATCTTGTCTTGGTGTCTGCTTCATACAGGTACACTCAGAGTAGTCTGAGGAAACAGGTGGTAAGATAAGGATTTGGGATGGTCTCAGAGAAGGTGGGGAAGGAGAATGCCTCCTGGCTGATTCTTGGGCTATTGATAGTCCAGGCACAAAGTAGCAGCTCAAATGCTAAATACCACACTGGTGGTGATTTGAGGAATGGGCTATGGCAGGTATGATAATGCAGGCAGGTACAAAATGTGGAGGGAAAAATTGCCTAGAAAGAGTTGGTTGGTTACTGCTAAGAGATGATGAGAGACTAAAGACCATTAACCAGCAGTTAATGACTAAGCCATTAATGGCTAAGTTTACAAAGCTCTGTTATCTCTTGCAGTGAAAGTACAGCTATTGCTGCTGTGTAGCAGGCTGAGTATTTAATTGTTCGGGTTGTAGAGTTTCAATGATGTTTGAGTGCTCAGTAGGGCAGCTGTGTGAAGGTCAGGGTCCTGGTGGGGAAAATCTAGAATCCTGAAACATAAGGTCTGGATGGATATTCCCGCAGATGCAGAGATGACCCATTCTTCCCAGAAAGAGCTACCACCTCTGCTCTGCTGGATGAAGCTAGAGGCCTCATCCTTGCCTAGCAGTAGGTCTTCCTCCCTACCTCCAGTCTACACCTCCTCTCCTGACAATGGGATGATAATTAGGGTTGAATTCCAGCATAATCAGGTTGAGGATTTGCTGGGCCTGATAAGGGAGAAAACAGACTTTACTCCAAAAGAATAGTAAGGCTGCTGGATGGATCGACACCTACTTCTCATTTATTGACTATTTTGTTACCCAACATTTTGCATTTATGGTAATAGTGAAAAATCTACTGTCTATTTTGCACATTAATGACACACATCTGGCAGTAACAAACTCTGAAGTGCAGGGTACACTGCTGTGATGGGTAAGGGTTGTCAACTTGGATGGACCATTGATTCTCAGTGGTTTGGCAGTTAGGTAACAATATTATTTGGCAGTAATGTAATGATGTAATTTGGCAGTTATATATTGATGTAGTCATCCTCCATTTTTGTATAATGAACTGGCCTTTGGAACCCAACCATGTTGATAAGTGAGGAGTGGGTGGATTAGGTAAGGCCAGTAATGACTGACAGGGATGTAGGGACAGCCAAGGGGACATGACCCCCAGAAAGTTGTGAGATGGTTAATAGACTGTGGAAACGTGAAGGCTCTGTGGGGGTAGGGGGGTTTCAATGACCTCACCTTGACACTGTGCTCTTGGCTCAGAGAGGGTTCCTGTATGTCAAAGGATTTAGAGACTCAGTCCTGAGATGAAATTGACACAACTTGATGTGGCCGAAGTCCAGTGTAAACTCCAAGGGTTTAACTAGAGGAAGTGTCCAGAACTGAGATCATTGATTATTTGTGCTATTTAACAATTCCCTGAGGCAGAAAAATCTGCCCCAGAATCTGTCTTCTGTCTCCATTCCACTGCTGTTCACCTTCTTATGAGTAACAAATTGCTACAGACCAAAGTGGTAAAACTGTGATCCAGAAGAGGGAAGGGGCTTGAATCAGTGTCACACGGTTTAGCAGAGGCAGAGAGAAGGCATGGTGACAGGAACCAGGAGGTTGGCCTCAGGTCTCCTGGTTGTGCAGAGTCTAACCTGTGACCCTCCTGAGTACTACACACAATCTGATGAACTTACTGCACAGTAAATGAGGGATGTTTTTCTTAAGAAATAAATTTAATTCCAGGTGGTTAGTGAAGGTAAGGCATGTAGTGCCTCTCTGAACGTTAAAATAATCCAGTTACAAAAGAAGCACTGTGTACAGTCTTAAACAGTCGAAGGTACAATGGGCTTCATATCTTACAAAGTACAAAAAATTATTTTCATATACAAAGAAAATACAAATAATGTGCAAAAAACATTTTCACAGGTGGCAATTTATAAAATGAAAATGATAGAAAAGTCCTTCATTCTTGTTATCTACCAATTTCTTATGTATTAACACAGTTCTATTTCTTAGTATGTAGATCATTTTGATTTTAAAAATCAGATTTTTCTTTAATCTAAAAAGACAAAGTGGCTTTTTATTTTTTATAAAAGGGAATAGTTTCATTACTAAAGTCTTATGAATGAGTTAATTTTGTATTAAATTAGATACAGACTGAAAAACAAGGATATAGAAATCATATATACATATTTTTGAAATATTAGTTTGATATTTAACATATTAACATTTCAAAACAAATGCATTGATTTAGCTACTATGACTCCTGCTAACATCAGTGACTCTGGTGGAGATGTTGTTTCTGTTCATGGAGGGCAAACAGTATTCCTCAGAGCCTAAGCTGAACAAACACAAAGTTATCAAAAGTAAAGAAAATCTAAAACAAATTTTACTTTGCTTGTGCAGAAGTGGTGTTGGGATAGCTGATCAAACCACAGGCTAATGACAGGCAACACAGCCCTTGTTGCGGGTGTCGTGTGGTCATAAGTAGCTGGCCTCTGTCTTTCCAAGTTCTTCACTTCATTAGGAGTTCAGTGCATGTGCTTGGCTTTGTGGGTTAGTGCAGTCAGCTGTTTGTATGTTATTTGTGTAGGAAGGTGACAGGAAGCAGAAGAAAACACCAGAACACAAGGCCCTGCCTCCCCAGAGCACCTCTGATCTAAAGAATTCAGTCTTTTCCTGCACTGGCCTGGTCATTGAGGCATCACTCCCTGGACAATCTGTCTCCACCTTGTCTGCTACTGAGCACCAAGGCCTCTTTACTGTGAACCCCAGCGGCCCAGCAGGGATCATGGAAGCAATTCCTGGTAGCACCAGAGAACTGAGCATCTCTGAGGTCAGGCAGTAAGAGTAGGTGCCTCTCATGAGAAGCCCTTCTATGTAGAAGGCAGAGTAGTACTGGAGGGTTATTTTTGTTTGCTACAAAGCTCTCCAAGAAAATCATGGACCCCAGCGGGTGGTGGCCATTTTGCCTAGAGGAGGAATGACAGGTGGTGGCCCAGGAGACATTCTTCTGATCCCTAATCACCAAGACCCCATGAGAGCAATTTAGTGCAAGATACAGGGAGTGCCTGACCAAACCTGCATGGCACACCCACATGGTTAAGTAGAAACAGCAACAGCTCAAGGAGGGGAACCAGGTAAGGCTGGGTAGGAGAACCTCAGGCCCTGGGATGATTCATCAGAACTGAAAGCAAGGTGTCAGTTCCTCGAGGATTCACGCTTTTCTCTTCTATCTCAGCATGAGTCCTCCCTCTTTCTCTGCTTGGATTGACCATGGGCATCATGCATCAGAGATACAGCTCTGGATCCTGTCCATCCATTGCTGGGCACTTTGTCCATCCTGGGCACAGAAGTTATACACACGTTTGCTGGTCTTGAGCTGCAAAAACAAATGACCAAGTTACTACAGATGAAGGGCAGGGTGTTTGATGGCATTGGGCAAGTGTCCAAATCAGTCCCTCTGATCTTCTCTCTCTGCACTGCCCCAGGATCTGTCTTTTCTCTCCCCTTCATTGCTGTACTATTAGTGCCTTTACAGTCACTTCACTTTCTAGCCCCTGACTCAACAGGGAACATTACTAAAAATGTGCTGGCAGAGAAAGGAACCACTGTAGAAACGCCTTACTACATCTTCCCAGATTAAGGGGGGAGGGGGAGTCAGGAATGGCTAGATTCTGGCCACTCCCACATTCCACACCAAAGCCAAGGATGAATCAGGGCAGCTCCCTGTGCTCTAAGGAGAAGCCTAGGATTCAACTTTGCTGTGTTGAAACTGACCTTTGTGCCCCCTTTCTGTACCTTTCTCTTGTCTTCAGTTGGGACCAGAGTCAGAGAAATGGCTTCATGGCCTGAGCAGAGCCCTACATGACCTCTGCCTTTTATATGAAGCCCTGCGTACTGTATGGTTCTCCAGAAACTAGATGGGGCTTCTTCCTCTAGTGTGTAGCCCATACAATTCCCCAGGGTCCACCTAAAGGCTGCTGGAGATGTTAAGGCAGACAGCATGTGTGATCAGCACCTTCCTCTGCAAACAGCTAAGCAAGAAGACCACTGGTACAGTGGGAAGTAGCACCCGTTCTTGAATGTAGATGGTGACTGAAGTAACTAACATTTTTACAAGGACTTCATCTGCTGTCATACGTGGTTGCAATCCTTTAGAAGGAATCCTTTGAGCAACCTGTTTCAATCTTTGGAGACATCTGGAGAGCTTGTAGAGGTCAGGCTTGTGGATCAGGAGTGCTGAGTTCAACTTCTATAGTCCTGAGGCTTCGTGGCCTATTTGCATTCACCATCAATTGCTCTGAGGTCCCCAGAATTCTTATAGGTAGACAAATGATAAATAAAGTACCAAGTACAGAGCCAAGAAAGATCAACTTACATCAAAGAAAGCCTTGTCACTTGTGTGCTTTGGGGCTCCCATGCTGGGGCCAGCAGGAATGACCATTTCAACTTCAGCCAGATCAATGTGGCCTTTACAGCTTGTGTCCTCACCTGAGTCATAGTATCGCAGCTGGACCCAAAAGAATAGAGATAGGATATTAGACACACAGAGAAAAACCTTTCGGACTGCATCTGATTACTTCCTTCAGTATCTACATAAGTATACAAAATGTGTATGTTGTTGTTGTGAAGTGCTGTTGAGTCAGTTCTGACTCATAGCAACCCTGTATAGGGTTTTGGAGGAGCACTTGGTGGGTTTGAACCACTGACCTTGAGGTTAGCAATCCAGTATTTATCCTATAGTGCCACACCAGGATTCTGTGTGTGTGTGTTTGTGTGTATGGTGGTGGGGGGAGTAGAGAGAGGGGGATTGTGGCATGCTACAGTTTAGAAAGTATACCCAAGTCAGATGGAATCGTTTTCAAGCTTGAAAGTAGTACTAGCAACATGTTGCTGTGGGTACAGAGTCAATTCCAAATCCCAGTGACTCAGGTGAAAGAGTAGAACTGCCTGGTAGGACTCTCTTGGCTACAATCTTTATGGAAGCAGATTGGTAGATCTTTCTCCTGCAGAGCAGCTGAGTGGGTTCAAACTGCCAACCTTTCACTCTGAATGGTCTTGGACAAGTCTCTTCCTCACTCTGGACCTTATCTTTGAAGGGAGGGAAGAATCATCTAGAAGGTCAAGGTCAGAAGCAGAATCCATTCAGTTTGCAAATAGCAACACTGCTAGCAAACAGCAAATTGTGGTTTGTAGTACTGTGGTGGCTTGTGTGTTGCTGTGATTATGTAAGCCACCAGTATTTTAAATACCAGCAGGTTACCCACAGTGGACAGGTTTCAAATGAGCTTCCAGACTAAGACGAACTAGGAAGAAGGACATACGGACTACTTCTGAATATTTAGTCACTGAAAACCTTATGAATAAATAGCAGAGAAACACTGTCAGATAGTACCAGAATATTGAATATTGAAACATGATGAATAGCATCATAAAGACTGTCAGATACAATGTCAGAAAAACGAGCCCCTCAGGTTGGAAGGCACTGAAAATACAATAGGAGGAGAGCTTCCTCCTCAATGCCTCCTAGTAGAATTGACCATAATGACGCAAATGGAGCAAAGCTTTTTTGAGACCTTCGTTTGCTGATGGGGCACAACTTAAAATGAGGAAAAACAATTGTAAACATCCATGAACAGTTGTAAACATTCAGAACATGGAATGTAAGAAGTATGAATCTAGTAAAAACTGGAAGTTGTCAAAAATGAAATGGGATGCCTAAAGATCAATATCCTAGGCATTAGTGACCTGAAATGGACTGGTATTGGTCATTTTGAATCTGACAGCCATATGGTTTACTATGCTGGGAATGGCAAGTTGGAAGAGGAATTGTGTCTCAATCACTATAAAAAATTATTTCAAGACCTATCTTCAAGTACAATGCTGTCTGTGACAGGATAATATCCATATGTCTGCAAGGAAGACCGGGTGATACCACTATTCATCAAATTCACACACCAACCACTGAAGTCAGTGATGATGAAATAGAAGAATTTTACCAACTTCTTCAGTCTGAAATTGAGCAAACATGCAATCAAACAGGTTTATATGAAGAAAAACATGGCATCAGGGTTGGAGGAAGACTCATTAACAACCTGCAATATGCAAATGATATAACCTTGCTTGCTGAAAACTAAGAGGACTTAAAAATACTGATGAAGATCAAAGATCACAGCCTTCGGTATGGGTTGCATCTCAATCTAAAGAAAACAAAAATCCTCACCATTGGGCCAATAAATATCTTCATGATAAATGGAGTAAAGATTGAAGACTTCACTTTGCTCGGATCAACCATTAACATTCATGGAAGCAATAGTCAAGAAATCAGATGACATATTGCCTTAGGCAAATCTGCTGTACAAGACCACTTTAAAGTGTTCAAGAGCAAAGATGTCAGTTTGAGAACTAAGGTGTGCCTGACCCAAGACATGGTATTTTCAATAACCTTATATGCATGTAAAAGTTAGACAATGAATAAAGAAGACTGTAGAAGAATTGATATGTTTGAGTTATGGTGTTTGAGGAGAATATTAAAAGTATACCAGGGACTGTCAAAAGAACCAACAAATCTACACTGCAGGAAGTACAGCCAGAATGTACAGGATGGCCAGACTTCGCCTTTCATATTTCAGATAAGTTATTAGGAGCGACTAGTCACAACAGAATGCAGAAATCATCAGACAATCTCTAATATCCTATGCGAGTAAAGTTTTACTAAAGGTAATACAGAAACGTCTGTAAGCATACATTGACAGAGAACTTCCAGAGGTTCAAGCCAGATTCAGAAGCAGCCATGGAATGAGGGATATCATTGCTGATGTCTACTGGATCTTGCCTGAAAGCAGAGATTATCAGAAAGGTGTTTACCTGTGCTTTATTGACTATGCAAAGGCTTTCAGTTGTGTGGATCATGACACACTATGGACAACATTGTGAAGTATGAGTATTCCGGAACACTTAATTGTGCTCATGAGGAATCTGTACCTGGACCAAGAAGCAGTTGTTCGAACAGAACATGGGAACACTGAATGGTTTAAAATTAAGAAAGGTGTGCGACAAGGTTGTATTCTTTCACCATACTTATTCAACCTGTATGCTGAGCAAATAATATGAGAAGCAGGGTTCTATGAAGAAAAATGTGGCATCAGGATTGGAGGAAGACTCGTTAACAACCTGAAATATGCAGATGATATAACCTTGCTTGCTGAAAGTGAAGAGGACTTAAAACATTTACTGATGAAGATCAAAGAGCACAGCCTTCGGTATGGATTACATCTCAATGTAAAGAAAACAAAAATCCTCACCACTGGACCAATAAACAACATTCTTAACAACGGAGAAAATATTGAAGTTGTCAAGGACTTCATTCTTCTTGGATCAACTAACAACACTCACGAAAGCAGCAGTCAAGGAATCAAAGGATGTATTTCATTAGGCAAATCTGCTGCACAAAACCTTTTTAAAGTGTTGAAGAGCAAAGATGTCAGCTTCAGGACTAAGGTGTGCCTGACCCAAGCCATGGTATTTTCAATAACCTCATATGCATGCGAAAGCTGGACAGTGAATAAGGAAAACTGTAGAAGAATTGATGACTTTGAGTTATGGTGTTGGAGGAGAATACTAAAAGTGCCTTGGGCTGCCAAAAGAACCAATAGATCAGTTTTGGAAGAAGTGCAGCCAGAGTGTTCCTTGGAGGCCAAGATGTCCAAACTTCGTCTCTCATACTTCAGATATTGTCAGGAGGGACCAGTTGCTGGAGAAGGATATCATGTTTGGTAGTTGGGGGGTCAGAGAAAAAGAGAAGATTCCCCAACTAGATGGACTGGCCAAGTGGCAGCATCGATGGACTCAAGCCTGGCAACAGTAGTGAGGTTGGCCCAGGATCAGGCAGTGTTTTGTTCTGCTGTGTATAAGGTCGCTATGGGTCAGTATCGACTCAATGACAACTAGCAATAACTAAAACAGTCACAGCAGGATATCATGCTTGGTAAAGTAGATGGTCAAAGAAAAAGAGGAAGACCCCTAATGAGATGGATTGGCACAGTGACAGGAGCAATGGGCTCAAGCGTAGCAACAATTGTGAGGTTGGCGCTGGATTGGGCAGTGTTTCATTTATTTGTGCATAGGGTTGCTATGAGTCAGTACCAACTTGATGGCACCTAACAACAACAACAACAACACAGCTAGCAGTTTCACAGAAGTAAAAACAACTTGTATTTGATTCTGTGAGAAGCCTTCTTTAATCTGACCTAGAGGAGGTACATCACTGATGGAGATGAGGGGGAGATTGAAGAGGTAGGAGAAAGAATCATGGTTTGAGCCTAAATTATAACATGTATTATTTCTTGATGATTCAAACCACACCCACCAACTGAAATGATGGTGGTGACTTATGTCTAGGATTGATCGAATGTCCTCTTTGAAAGACATGAAAACTAATTCCAGAGTAGGAAAAAATTCCAGCTTGAGAAATGAGGCAAATTATTTGAAGTGTTGCTTAGTAGAGGCAGAAGATAAAATCAGTAGCATTCACACTCAAAATAAGTGACATCAGTCCAGTCAGATGCCTTAAGTACAGAGCTGGTTAAATAAGAAACTGAGCTTCCCCACAAACCAAGCAGAGAGAGGTTTGCTAAGGGCCTGACAGAAAAGATCTGATTACAGGTTATCATTAGCTAGATATTGGAGACTTTTTAAAGAGAAAGTTCTAGAATATGAACTGATTTCATTTGTAGTGATTTATAATCTGGACAATCTGAATATTCTCCAGCTAGAAGTACTGGATAAAATCTGGTGGTGGTGGTGGTTATGTGCTGTGGAATCGGTTCTGACACATAGTGGCCCTATATTTTCCGACGCTGTAAATCTTTATGGGTGCAGAAAGCTTCATCTTTCTCCCATGGATCCACTGGTAGTTTCAAACAGCTGACCATGAGATTAGCAGCCCAACTCGTAACCACTATGCTACCAGAGCTCCTTGGATAAAATATATCAAACATATTTTTAATTGCATAGTTCAGGGGATGGCAAACTATGACCTGCCAGTCAATTGCCTGTTTTTATACAGTTTTATTGGTAACAGTCATGCCCATTTGTTTACATATTATCTACAATGGCAGAGTTGAATAGGCATGACAGAGACTGTAAGGTTTGCAAGCCTAATATTTATCTGGCCCTTGCAAAGAAAGTTTGCCAACTTCTGGCATAGCTACATCCCCAAGAATATAAGAGAAAACATAACGGGTCCCAAAATACCAAATATGAACTAGCAACTCTTTGTGTTCTGATATAGAATGACCTCCAGAACATACTTTTAGATAAACTATATAAGAACAACAACAAAAAAATGCAGAATCCTGCATAACATACTACCATTTGTATAAAAGTAGGTAGATAAACATTTCTATGCATTTACTTATATATGCTAAACTATGTCTAGAATAATATACAATAAATTGATAACACTGGTTGCCTTTAGAAGGAGAAGTGAGTGACTGGGAGGAAGGGGTGAAATAAAGACTTTTATATACCTATTACTTGTTAAAATGAAATAAAATTAAATTAACTTATAACTGTGAAAAATACCTAACATGTATTAAAAAGGGGTTAATGTTTAGAAGAAGTCCTAGTGTGGCACGGTGGGTTAATGCACTGGACTGCAAAGTCAGTTTGCACCACAAAATTGGTGGCTCAAGCTAACCAACTGCTCCTAGGAAACCCCATACAGGGTTGCTATGGGTTGGAACTGACTCAAACTCAATGGCACTTAACAACAACAAATGTTTAGAAAGGAGTGATGGATGGTGCTGAACTACTAACTGAAAAGTTGGTGGTTTGAACCCACACAGAGGAGCCTTGGAAGAAAGGCAGGCGATCTTCTGAAAGCTTACAGCCATGGAAATCTCATGAAAAGATTTACACTCTGCACGTACGGGCTCAACCATGAGTCAGAATCGACTCAATGGAAACTTTTTTTTTTTTTTTAATGTTTGTAATAAATAAAGAATTCCTAGAAATGGATAAGAGACACAATCTAGTAAAAACAAAATAGCCAAAGGATTTCAACAGGCAAGTCACAGAAGAGATACAAATGACCTATAAATATCTGAAAAGATGATCAAACTTCACTGACCAAGAAAAATGAATGAAATAAAATGAGGTTTAACTTTTCACCAGATTGACAAATATTAAACATGGTGTGGCGCTATGGGTTAATGCATCAGACTGCAAAACCATTTGAACTGCAAGGTCCGTGGTTCAAGCTCACCTGTGGCTCCTTGGAAACCCTATACAGGGTTGCTATGGGTCGGAACCGACTCGATGGCACTTAACAACAACAATAATAAATACTCAGGTTGATTAGAGTATAAGACACTAGATACTCTCAAATATTATTAATTGGAATATAACTTGTTAAAACAATTTGTTAAAACAAATTTTTCAATGTCACCTGAAATTTGACATTATTATGCCTACTGATCCATCCATCTTTCTCAATTCCAGAAATGTACCCTACAGAAACACTCCCTCAAGCATACAAAGACACATGTGTAAAGGTGTCTTTATCAACCAAAAAGTAGAAAAATATGTGCTGGTCTTTCAATGGGGTGTTAATTAAATGCCAGTACACATATACCAGACCCGACTCAATGGCACTTAACAATAACAACAACAACACATATACCATGGAATATTATATGGCTTTAAAAGGATATGGAAGATCTATGTGAACTAGCAGGAAATAAATGTTCCAAGTTATGTAAAAGAAAAAAAATCAAGTTGCTAAATACCATGTAGGTACAATGTGATTTTTGAAGAACACAGAAAATAGCTTAACCTTTGATTAGTTACTATGTGACACCACTGTTGTAATTGTTTTATGTCTATGACTAACACTAAGAGCAATAAACCCCACACATGAAAATTATTTAGAGCAGCTGATACCAAATTGTTAATAGTGTTTATCTCTGGGAGCTGGGAGAACAGGAAACGTTTACATCTTCATGAAATGCTTGAATTTGGAATAATAAACATAATTTGGTATAATAAGTAGAATTTGATATTATCTGCTCTCAGAAAGATTTACAGTCTTGGGAAACCTATACAGGGTCTCTATACGTCAGAAGTGACTCAATGACTCACCATCACTACCACCAACCACAAGAAAAATATTTTTAAAATGAAAGGGATTGCTTGTGAAAAAGTCTAAAATCGGTCCACAGTCTTGAATGTACAGAGTAGGAATATGTCTGGTGCCTCTTGTCATTGTGCTTTAGGCCTTAGACTTCTCTATTATCCCTTCAGGCCTGGTATAAATACCGTTAAATGAAACAAACTGAATACTTTTCACATTAAATCCAAAAGACCATCAGGAATGCAAGTATAATTTGATGTAATTGTAAATTACAGAAAAATTATGACATTCTTGTATGTTATATATTTAGTGGTTTAATGGAACTTTTCTACAGTGTAGGCTCTATGATTTTAGAGACATTGTTATTTTAAAGTATAACCCCCTAAAAAGGCCTTCTATTTGTATATTTGAAAATGAATTCTATTTCCCTCAAAGACTCATGTTTCCATATGCAGTCCCACCAGAACACTGTATAGGCTTACAGCCCATGTCTTTCTTAACAGAGCCCTTTAATAGCTGAAAAAAATGAGAATTAAAATGTATAAGACTCGTGTGTTCCCAGGTGGTGTGAAGTCTACAGCCGGCACACGGGCCCACAGCTCTCCCTGGTGAAGGATGCAGAGGGCCTGGAGGTCTGGGGAGAGGTCACTACAGCAGGACTGTGGATGCTGCTAAGAACCTGATAACGGAAGAGTTCCGGACATGGTTAGCAAGGTTCAGTCTGTTACCTGTCCACTGTGAGTTAGCAAGGTTCAGTCTGTTACCTGTCCACAGAAGCACAAGGTCTCCCCCTGCCCTGCCACCAGCTGCCATCTTTGAGGGAAGGAGAACCATGCCTTGTTCATGTTCAATAATAATGTTTGCTAAGAAATTTATGCCCTTAATTTTGGTTGGATCTTTTATGTTGAGAACCTGTTTTCTGGAGACTACACACAAGTTTTCTATGTGCATGTGGTATCAGCAGGCAGAAAAACGCAGGGCATTTCCTGACCTGGGTTGTAAGAGCAGGCGGCAAGAGATAGCTGAGCATTAGAAAGAAGTGTTCTATGACTCTTAAAGCTCTCAGCTCAACTGTCACTGCCTCTGCCTACAGTTTCTCAGGCAGGGTGACTTTGGAACTTCCCTCAGATGGCTGGAGTAGCCCCTCAGAACCCTGGAGCAGCCCTGCAGGGTGCATGTGAGAGGCCCTAGGAAAATAGTTTGTGCCTGAGGAATGTGTGGCTGAAGGCTGAGGTCACCCCAGCTGGGGACTGAGATCAGCCTTAGAAGGCATTTCTTTCAGTTTTGACAGTATCACCTGATGTTTTGTTACATCCAGAACAAACCAGCGGGGCTTCCAACCTTTCAGCAAGGCTCCTCTTTTGTAAAGCGTTCCCTCAAAGGACCTAGAAAATGAAAGGATGACAGAACAATTTATTCTGATTTTTCATTTGAAAAGTGCTGTAAAGGGGATAGCTGCTGTTTTTGTTTGTCAAGTCCCTCTATTTCCTCTAGGTAATACAAGAAAAACCAATCAGAGGTTTTGCTAGGATTTTTCTACTGGACCTTTGGGAAAAGTTGACCTCTTTTCTGCTGAGATGACTAAACTTGTGAGGTTTGGAGAGACCCACAGATATCTTTTGTGCTAAACTGGGATTTAAGCAACACATGGGAAAAGCAGCTCTAGAAAAAAAACAGGAGCCTCAAGAGACTCTGTGAGTCCCCATATCCAGAAGTATCAGGAACTGGCCTTCCTAGTTTATATGAGTAAATTCCTTTTGCTTCAGCTAGTGTATGCTGGACTTATGAGGTTTGCAGCTGAAAAAGTGCTGACTACACATATTTCCTCGAAAGATCTGGCAGGCATGTGATAATGACGATCAGGACTGTTAACCACAAACAATCATAACCTCTTGGCATTATTTTAGTTGTAATTGGGATTTTTTCTTTTCAAAGAGCTATCTAAAGTAGAAGAAACTAAACAGGAGCAAACACCACCCCTCAAATTAAAACCAAAAAAAGGATGGAAAGCAAATGCATTTCAAGTCTGCAAGAAGACTCAGTTGTCACCTGTTTTCATCATTCTTGGATGTATACTGGCTGTACAGCGTGGCTGCTCTTCGGTCCACCCCATTGGATGGGGGGATGCTGGTGCTTTGCTCCTCCCCTGCACTGCTGTCTGGGAGGTGCAGCAGAGACCTCTTCTGATAGGAAGGAAGGTTAGTAGGCATGATTCCTGGGGAGCCTGAAGTGTGCCTCTGTGGCTGGAATGAGAGTAGGAATTAGGCAAGCTTTACCAGAGACATTCAGAAATTGACCCAATCAATTAATTTCTGTAAACTTATCTCAAGGGAAAAACCAGATGAATGAGCTAAGATACATGTACAAAGATGTTTATCCTGGAGTTGTTTATTTAAAAAAACTGGAAACCTAAGTGTCCATTATTGGTTGTGTGTTGTTAAGTTGGTTCTGACTCATAGCAACCTTGAGTAGGATATCCAAAAGCATCATCGTTCTCCTGAGGAATGGCTGGTAAATATGAACTGCTGACCTTGTGGTTAGCAGCCCAACTCATACATTACTACACTCTCTATTGGGGGACTTAACAACATCAAAACGGATTATGGTATACCATACAATAGAATTCTAGCCATTCAAAATGATGCTGATGTCTACACAGTGACAAGAACAAGTGTGCCATCTGGTAAGTAAAAAGAAAGCAGGTTTAAAAACAGTATGTATACTAAATCACTTTTATGTAAAGTTATATGTTGTGAAGAATGATAAAACAAATTTGACAGCATAGGTTATATATTGTGGGCAAGTTTTATCTTCTATTTTATAACTTTCTGTGTATTGTCTTATTAAAATAAATGAATTATATATTGCCTTCATGATAAAAAAAAAAGTCAATTAACAAAACAAGCATGGAAACATCACCTACCCATGGGCTATCTGCTATTTGAAGGAAAGAGGTTCCCTTCTGACCAAGTCCAAGTTTTCTTCTCTACCTCATTCTCCTTGACCTCTTTGTGACATTTTGACCTGCGGACCTCTCCTTTCTCCTGAATACTCATTTACCCTAATTTCCCTTTCGTTTTCTTTGGAGTCAGTCTGATGTGGGCTTAAATGGGATTCTACCAATTACTAGCTGTGTGATTTCTCTGTACCTATTCCCTCACATGAGGGGGCTTCAAAAAGTTCATGGGAAAATTCCATTATGTTTTCATCCCATTTTTCCATGAACTTTTTGAAGCACCCTTGTATAAAAGATAGAAGACCACTTCCTTATTGTACATTAACTAGAATGCTAATGTGTGTATGTATTAAGCATGGCCTCTCACACATATTATATGCTTGGTAAATGTTTCTTAAATCAGAAACAGAACATGGGACGTGAACAACAGAAGGCACCTTTGTCCTTCTACAACATTTTTTAATCTCTGCTTATTTCTCTGAAGCAATCACAGTTTTGCATCCCCCTCCTCCTTCCACTGGTAAAAGATCAGCTGAAACCACAGAGATAAAAAAGAACCCAGTAATTTCCCTGGATATGGGACCCTGAAACATAGGAATTATGTCACTGTGGTAAGTGAGGCACTCAGGAAATACTTGGTCATTTGGAACTCTCTGCTCTGGCTCTCTGGGGCATGATCTCCTTCCCTTCCAGCCTGCATAACCCCACCTCACACCACCTCACCTGTCACCCATGGCAGTGGGCCCCACCTGACCTATCACCCTCAAAAAGTTCACAAGTAGCTCTCTAAGGGGCTCTGCCAACTCACATGGTCTGTTTTTGGCTCTTCTTTCAGGTCTGCTTTCACCCTTTCCCACAGCTGCTGCCACTTTTCAGGGGTTTGGCTCAATTTATGTTCCAATCTTTCAATTTCCTGCAAAGTAAAGGAAAGGAGTTTTCTGACAGGTTAGTATTTCATAGAAATCAGGATGTGCCCTAGAGCCACAGATCCTCTGTACTAGGTCCAGATAAACAGCGTGGCCAGAAAGCAGCTAACGAAAAAGTGAAAAATGAGGCCTCAGAGGTCTCCCAAGTCACGGCAGTATGGGATCTCTAGCTGGTGTGATACACTGTGGCAACGGTGATTTACTTGAACCTGTAACTCAGCCTTTTCTTATAGAATGACTTAAATAGTAAGGGAGAAAATATGTATCCCAAACGTGTTCATCCTGGGACAGTCCAAGGGAAAACTGATGGCCACTGACAAAAGTATGGGGTCCACATCTGACCCCTAACAACTAAGCTAGGTGAGAAGTCTGTCTTTGACAGAAGAACTGTTCCTTCAACTCTGATGACTCAAACCAGATGTGGGAAGAATGAGCCAAGAAATGCCCAAAGAAATGGATTTCCTTCTGACAGGGAAGCTGGCAATCTGAGTGGCTACCTCTGTAACAGAGAACACTGCTACTACTTCTAATCAGGAAACAAGAGGGAGGAAAACCTTCAGAACTGTCTGGCCTGCATCAGGGCTTAAAACCAGGGCTTTGAACTGGTTCTTCTTGGTTCAGACATGCCTGATGATGAGACACTGGAAGGACCTGGATTTGTAAATGTGGGTGAACCAGGATGATAACTGGAACAGAAAAAAATTATGGGTCAACACCTTGCTACAAACTTAATCGTCCTCTTAGAATACAAAGGCAGCATGAACATTGCATAACAACTAACTCTTGATCAACATAGTTGGAAACAATGGTGCCTGGCTCAAAGATGGCAGCTGACAATACCACTTTGAATGTGTGTCACTCTACCAACCAAAGGCAAACCTACTGGCATCGAGTCTATTCTAACTCGTAGCGACCCTGTATAGGGCTTCTGAGGATGTAAATCTTTATGGCAGTAGAAAGCCTATCTTTCCCCTTGAGGAGCAGCTGGTGGGTTTGAATTGCTGACCTTTTGAATAGCAGTCCAGTGCTTATCCTAAGCGCTACCAGCACTCTACACAGTCCTGGCAATAATTTAGTATTCCACATCAGGATCCCAAAATGGCTCACTACACCTCATCTGAATCTCTCACTCCAGGGCTTTGGCCTGTAATTTTTCCTGTTCTTGTTATTGTTTCAATTCATCTGAATTTTAAAAATTTGGGTCTGTTTCAATTTCACTTCATCAGCCATAACTAAACCGGTTCAAAGCCTTGATGCAGACTCTTTCCTTGGGACTGTTGCTTTCATCAGGGTGGCGACTGCTAGAATGTTTTCACTTTAGAATATTCCTTGTAGAAGAAGATTGGCAGTGTTCCCACCAGGCCATTAGCTACCCAAACTTCTGACCAGAGGAAGTGCAGCATCCCACAAAAGCCATAGCGCAGGCCTGACTCAGGCTGCCTGGGCAGCTCACACAGCTTGGAAACTCTTGAAGATGTAACTTATTCCATTTAACTGATTGCTTCCTTATGCTGGACACTTACTTTTATTGCATCTCTTTTGCAGTAGCTGAGCCCAGTTCCCTAGTGACTCTAGGGAGCAAAGCTGGTTTCCTCATACCTCTAATGCTAGTTCAGAGTAAGGAGCCACGTTCAGAAGTTTGTGAACTAGTCTTAGTCTGGTTCCTGTGGTCTCATTTGCTTCCAGAGACCATGGTGCCCTAAGTTGTGCATCTCTCTACATATGGTGGACTTACACTGAAAAGGCTGGTGAGAGCGTCGGGCTGCGTATAGCTGATGTCATCATAGCATGGCCACACTGTTCTCCTCCTACTCTGGGGCCCAGCTCCTCTGGACAGTTCAGAGTCCTCGGAGGGGAAGTGCTTAGGGGTCAGCATCATCCAGTCATAGGAAGGTCCTGTGGACAGGGTCTCCTCTGTATAGTAATCCCACTTTTTGAGGCTGGAGACATTTACATTGGGCTTCAGGGCCTGTTTAAAGAAAATTCTAAATATAGTTTCATCCTAATGACTTAGCAAAGTGCCCTAAACATATTGGCAGGTAAACCAACATCTGTAGAGTCTAGGTAAAGAGTACAAATGGAGGCCCAAAATACTGTATATCAAAATATTTAAATATGATGCACCAAGATAAACTATTAAATAAAATATGTTACTCCATATATCATGGAGGGCGGTAGCTAAACGATGTGCAACAACTGCGTAGACCTGGTGGAGGTGTTAAATGAAACCCAGACCATGGAGCGGTGGGGTGAGAGGTGTCTAGAGACCAGGTCGATGGGGAGACGCTGCCTAGTGGGAAGAGACTGCAGGGGCCGGCCAAGTTGTCCTACTTACCCCGGAGGCAAGAGCACCTTCCTAGCCTAACGGTTGGATCCTGGCTTTGAGGCAGGGTCAACCAACTTAGAGACCCACAAGCCCAGCCCAAAGCGTCTCACTACAACCCAGTCGCCCCTGCTGTGCCTCTTCATTGACATCCAAGGACAGAAATCCCGCCTTTGAGCCAGACTTAAGGGCCCTAGCACAAAGATATTCCTATTTAACAGCAACCACGCAACCACCACTCGTCTGTCTGTCATGCTGTGGTGGTTTGAATTGCTGTGATTCTGAGGGCTATGCCACCGGTATTTTAAATAACCAGCAGGGTCACCCATGGTGGACAGGTTTCAGATGAGCTTCCAAACAAAGACAGACTAGAAAGAAAGAGTGAC